CATATGAGTGAAGTCATATGATATTTGTCTTTCTCTGACTCATTTCGCTTAGCATAATACCTTCCAGTTCCATCCACGTAGTTGCAAATAGCAAGATTTCATTCTTTTTGATTGCCGAGTAATGCTCCATTGTATATATATACCACATCTTCTTTATCCATTCATCCATCGATGGACATTTGGGCTCTTTCCGTATTTTGGCTATTCTTGATAGTGCTGCTATAAGCATGGGGGTACATGTGTCCCTTCGAAACAGCACACCTGTATCCTGCGGATAAATGCCTAGTAGTGCCATTGCTGGGTCACAGGACAGTTCTGTTTTTAGTTTTTTGAGGAACCTCCATACTGGAGGATTGGACTGGATAGGATTCGAGGTTCCCACCCCTGGCTGCATGCGAGTGTCACCTGGGGAGCAGTCAGCAGCCATTTAAATGCCCTCCATGGCGAGAGCTGCTGGGTTAGACTACCTCCGGGGTAAGCTCCAAAACTCCACGAGTTTTGAAGATACCGTTAACTAGAATAGTCTCCAGTTCTTGTTAAGAGGCTTCTATCAAACCTGTAACGGCCTGGTATCCACATTCTTGGTGATCTCTATTCCATAGGGACCTGCGTGGACCTAGATTCTTCTCCCTTCTGTTTAGCCAAAATGTGGTTGCTTTGTCCCCTCATGCTCCCCTAAGGTGAGACACGTCAATGATATGAAGGACACAGTTGGGTGGCACAGAAAGAGGAGAAGCATGGCCTGACCTCAGCCAAGTGACCTTTTCCTGCCATGGGTTCAGTGGTGTGCCCTCAAGAGAAGGGAAGGGGGAAAAAAGTTACAAACAGAGAAGGAGGGAGGCCAACCATGAGACACCCTTAAATACAGAGAGCAAACTGGGGGGTGGATGTGGGGAGTGGAGAGAGAAGGAAAATGAGCGATGGGCATTGAGGAGGGTCCTGGTTGGGATGAGCCCTGGGTGTTGTATATAAGCCAATTTGACAATAAATCGTATTAAAAGAAAAAGAATCGTGCCCCCTCAGAATTCCTATGTTGAAATTCTAACCCCCAGAGCCTCAGAATGCGACCTCAGTTGGAAATGGGGTCATTGCACATATAATTAGTGAAGATGAGGTCATTAGGGTGGGTCTTACAGCAATTTGATTGACGTCCATATAAAAACGGGAAAGTGGGACACAGGGACATGCACGCAGGGAGAAGGCCATGTGAAGGTGGTGCTTCCCCCAGCAAAGGAGTGCCAAGGAGTGCCAGCAAATGCCAGGAGCTAGGAGGAAACACTGGAGTAAGATTCCCCCACCCAGCCCTCAGAAGAAACCCATCCACACAACATCCTGATCTCAGACTTCCATCCTCCAGATCTGTGAGACAACACCCTTCTGGTGTCTGGGCCACTCGGTTTGTGGCGCTCCTTAAGAAACCAAGCCACCTCCAGAGATGGCTCCTATTGGTGACATCAGGGAGGATAGCTCTTTCCAGACAGAAGGAGGCACTGCAGTCCTACAGAAAGGAGAGAGGAAGCCCAGAAAAGGCTCCTGCTTTGGCCTCCAGCTCAGCAGGCTGCCTGCCTCCTATGACCCTGAAGGAGCAACGTGCCGTTCTGAACGTAACTCCCCTCAAGCCCCTGAGTGACAGGACTGTCACTCATTAGCCATCGTGTTCTATCTCTTTGTGTTTCTTTGTGATCTTACCTGCATATTTGTCCACGTTTTGTTTTCCCAACTCGACCGCCCACTCCTTGAAGGCTGGGATGATGTTATAAACCCAAGTGGGAGTCAGGAGCCATCTTTGATAAAAATTCTTGGTGTGACCTTAGGGGTTGTCCCTTTCCCCCTCTGCGCCTAGCTCCTTCACCTGTCAAATAGGAACGCCATCTCCAAGGCTCCATCTAGCCCCACTATTCTGCGATTCTCACTCTAAGGAAGCATCCTAGTTCTTTAACCAACCTGCTTGCTTGGGATGCAGAAGGAAGGGAGACTCAGGAAACTCATCTTGAGATGTGCTGAGAAGCCAAGCATTTGGGGGTTACATGTGTCAGATTCATTTAATGAGAGGGCTAGACCCCAAGCGCTTAGGGGGCCAATATTATAGTGCAGGGACTCCCGGCCCCACCAGGTTCCCTTCCTAGACCCCAGGGCCTCTTGCTTCGGCACCTGCCTGTCTATAAGGCCTCTTTCTTAGCGATTGCTGATGCTTCCTCCTCTTTGGGGGCTTGGAGGAACAACACTGTCTTTCCAAGCGGTTCCAGTATTTTGACTTCCTTCTGAGGGATCACAGCCTGCCTCAGCCTCCACTTGTGAGAAGCCTGCACCCCATCTACGAGTATTTAAGGATCTTCCTAATGGCAGATGCCCCAGATGCCTGGGAACCTGGGTAAATTGTCCTCTTTTGGTTCTGGGAAACAGGGATGCACACAGACCAGCCCAAGTAATGATGGGTAGTGTAGCAGTAGAAGCAGGGACCTTATTAGAAAGTGGTTATAAGAGGGATGGAGTCTTTTAGAAATCTAAGACGAGAAACGACTACTCAATGACAAGCTTCGTAGAACGAGCTACTAGAAGGTTATTTTGCTTCCAAGCTTCTTCTGGGGACCTCACTCCAAGGCTCCGCCATTAATGCGACCCCGCTACTCTCCCGGATCCGCTTCTTATAGGCATCTCTCTGCTCAGAAGGCATCGTCTCCCTCAAAAATAAATAAACAGTAAAGAGCACATAAACAATCAGGGCATGATGCTATGGCAAAAGTCATGGAGGTGGACCACAAATGACTGAAGTCTGAGAAACACTGGATTGGCTGCCTGTGTCCACATTTCACTGTAAATTCCCAGGACACAGCACTTGAGTGTCTCAACTCGTTAGCAGCCCCAATTTACATAACTAACACTTTGTAATGGGCCATGGGCCCTATGCAAGTGGGCTGCCCTTGGATCCAGTGTCCACCCTTAGACAAATCCGTGGTCAGGGAGGTAGGGTTGCATGATGTGGGATTTGGCTGCCCAAGTTCTGGCTCTTCAGCGGGGGCTGAGGATAAAGCAGTTCCTTTGGGAAAATTCTAGGGGCAGGTGCAGCCTGATGTGTTATTATGGACCTCTGGTTCAGCTGTAGCTCTGGGCGGGCACGGTCACTGTCGGGGAGTTTCCAAGGTGGGCGTGTGGTTTCCGTCTCCCTGTAAACTCTCCTCGGGGCGGTGGTTGCAGGAACTGAATGGGATCTTTGTTACGAAGGTGCCTTGAAAACCACTGTCGGCACAAAAAGAAGTGACAGTAGGCAACTTTGCTCGTCTCTCCTGCCTCTGTCCCTTCAGGAGTCGGTGACAGATTTGAGCTGGGTGATCCTTACCATCTCATCCCTTCCAGATCCTTAGTGGTTCTTGATTCTCAGTTCCCTGCCTCTCCGGATTTATCCCCCAACCACCAACCTGGTCCCCAGAAACATTGCCTCTAAAGTTCCAACAGTAGAGAAAAAGACATCGTGAGCCCCCTGTCTTGCAAGTTACGTGTTTATAAAAATTGGCATTCACGGCATACTTGTTTTTGTAATAAAAATTCTGCATTCCCTTTGTCCTGGCTTATCCGTTTAGAGATGTTTGCTTTTTACTCATTATTGATTGTCAATTGGCTCCGGTTACTCTTTGATCTTCCATGTTGTTTGAACTTGAACGCCACCCACACTGCCTGCCCTCGGCCCATGGTCTCTCTATTAAACAGTAATGACACATAAACAAACTCGGAGGCCCTCGGGGAGCAGAGGGGCCCTGGGCCAGCCTCCCTCGGGCCTGTGAATTCTCATTTCTGAAGCTGTCTGTTTTGTAAGTTCTTTTGCCAAGTTTCTATGGGAGCAGAGGGATCATTTTCTCCCTTTTCAAAGAGCAGGGTGAGCTGAGGCCTCGAGCTGGCAAGTCCTCTAAAGTCATTTTCAAAGGAAACCTGAACCAAAAGGCCATGTGGCTGGCAGAGGGTGGTGGCACTTTGTGAGGCTCTCTCTGGGGCTTTGGGTGGTCAGCCCCCACACGCTTCTCAACACGTGCCCAGGGCCTGCTGTAAGACCCTGCCAGAGGCCGCTTCTGTCCAACCCATGGCCTGAGAACCCGGGGAGGGGCTCCACTCCACAGCCCCACCCCACGGCCACCCAGGACCCGGAAGGGGGCAAGGGCGGCCTTTCTCCTCTGGGCCAGGGGCCAGGACCGCACTTGTCCTCACTGTTCTTAGACCTCATCCATCGAACTTGATCCTTGGGGTTTTTTGAGGTGAAATAAAACTAGGTGCCAAAGCAAGCCAGGGTGAACTTATGTCTGAATCATGGAATCATAAATGATCTAGTTAATCTAATCCTCGCACGGACAGGTTGGGAAAGGGAGCCAGAGGGGAAATGGTTGTCCCAGGTCACGCAGGAGGAAATGGGGGCCTTCCACCACAGTTCTCTGGACAAAGAGCCCTTCTCTAGGGTAGGAGTTTTGCTTGGCCGGAAGCCGTTCACAAACCTTCTGAGTCTGTAGATACCTGTCAATCACCCAGCAGGTACCAGAAAGACTCTAAAGGCACCAAGGCTGAGAAATGTATGATGGGGTGAGACCTGCCTTCATACTTCCCCTGGACCCCAGCAGAGAGAAATTGCTTATGAAGCCGGGAGGCAAGATGAGCCTTCACAGGATGGGCAAATTCTCCAAGACACAGGGAAGACAGGGACGCCCGTACCTTTGCGTCAGCAGGGCTAGAACTGAAGTCATTAGAACTCGGCCTAGAGTTCTCCCCTGCCTGAGCTCCTCACGGCCTGGGTCTGGAGCCTGCGGTCCTCAGTCCATCCTGGTCTGGGGGCCAACAGCGGCTCTGGGCCCAGCTTCCAGGAACCAGCCCCAGCCTTGGCCCCTCTGAGGCCCCCCGTGGCCAGCAGCCACTCCTGTCCTTGAGCATCTCCCACTAGGTTACGAGCTGAGGACACCAGACCCATTCGAGTCCTGAGTCCTGATTCCAACACAAGGAAAGACCTCCGGAACGGAGCCAACTTGACTTTTCAACGTTTTATTCTTGTATTTGTACAGCTATATTTTACAACGCGGTAATGCAGTTTAGACACAGCCAAACCCTGTCTCCGGAGTAGTTCTAACACAAGCATGACGCAGAATGTGATGAGACAAACATTCCCAAAGAGAGCTTAGTTAGCGACGACTTCAAGTCCCTGTGTCTGCCTACACTTCAGAAGGGATGGCGTGCTCGTCCATCACTGAAAACTTCCATGAAAAAAGGCACCGTAGGACACGTTGTACAGGTATATACAAACCGAGAACTAGAACAAAACTACACATTTTTCCTTCGGTAGCTTTTTTTGTTCTTTTTGTTGTTTTTTTTTTTTTTAATACACACTTTGTAAATTGTAAACCTTCACTTGCAAAAAAATACAAATACACTGAGGCATTTTAGACAAAATATTTTCTTACTTATACAGATGCAATACTTAAAATATTCTCTTAAGTGCTCTTTCTCAATAAAGATTCTCAGATCCGTGTCTGCCTGCAGATACAAAATCGAGCCTTTAACACAGTTTTATATTTTTAATATATCTTTTTTAGGTTTATATATATTTATTTTATATATATATATATTTATATATTTACAACTCTGCCATATATTCCTTCACCTTTGGTTAAAAAAATTAAAGCCCTCTCTTTGATAACATACCGAAGTCTCTTCTTTTAAAAGAATGCACATTTACATACAAAAGAAACATCTGTTCCCACAAAACATATACATTCCTCATTTTGCAGACCAAGTCAAGTCAGAACTTTTGCATACGCCCCCCGCTCTGATATATAAAATGATTTTGCCGTTTGCTGACGTGGTTTGCCTTACACATAGGAGAAGAAGCAATATTATTTTCTTAATGTTTTATGGCAGTAGGGGAAGGGGAGCTGCCTTGGCTCCCGGTCCCCCTGCCCCTCCCCCCCCACCCCAGCCCAGCTATGATTTGCACTAGTGGATGAAAGAGGCACTACGTCATGGGATGAACATCGTAAAGTGTTACAGTATCCTTTGGGTAGATTTCTGAGAAGGGACTCGAATGGAAAGCATCAACACTCCATGCTTCAGCAGGCCTTGGGGAGCTCCGGGGGCAGGTCAGTGGCGGACACACGGTACTGCACCTTGGTGTTGGTGATGGCACCATGCTTCTGGCGCAAGTGAAGACGCAGCTGGCTTTTGTGACGGAAATGCAGGTTACACTTCTCGCACTGAAGGAAAACCGGAGGCAGACTGTTAGCTGTCACCAACCCAGGGAACGTGTCATTGCTCAGAGACCCAGAGAAGGAGGGTCTCCCTCTGAGAGATCTGGGTAGCTCATCCCCCTCCAAGGCCGGGTGGAGAATTCTGGCTCCAGCTAAGGGACACACATAAGCTTTGTGCAAATGGCCCTTCCCTGTCTTCTAACGTGTTCCGATGCCGCTCGCGCTTTTCCCCGCCCAAGCACATCGTTTCTTCCGTGTGCCTTGGTTTTCCTTTCTGTAAAGGACTGAGGCAGTGCACTCTGAAGGTCACCGTTACCTCGACATCTGTGCATCTAAACTGCTAGCACATATTTATTGTATTCTTCCTGTGTGCCCAGCACCATCCCGACCCTTGAGTGGATCTGGTAACTGAGCACAACAGCCCCAGGAACACAGCTACGTCCAGGCTCATTTTGCAGATGAGGAACCAGAGGCACCGAGAGGATGAACTAATTTGCCCAAGGACAAAATGCAAGTAAGAAGATTCTCACCCTGGGACTGATAAACAGTGGGTCAAAATAACCACATGTTGCCGGCTCACATTTGCGACACGGGTTAAGCACTCATTGGTTCGTTCTTGTGCCCAGCCCTACCTACAGTGACGCCATAAAGCCACCAAAGTCAGCATCACCTATCAGAGTAGTTTCCACACTTGTAAGCCGTGGGACTCTTTTCAAATTAAATAGAAACTCAAAAGGCAAAAGGGACGGCAGGATTAAAGAACTTCAGTGTTAAAAGAGCATGGTTTGGAAACTGCTCATCTATAGCAGTTCTCAGGAAAGAAAATTGTGGTCCACAGCGAGGGTCTGGGCTTGCCTATGGCCCCAAAAAGGTTGCTGTCAAAGTCAGACTAAGAACCAGACACCCCAGCTGCCCAGCCAGTATCTCCCCCGTCAGTGGCAGAGATTGGCAAATGATTTCTAACTGGTGAAGAGCCAGATGGTAAATACATCGTGATGACAAGACTGCCCCTGTAGTAGGAAAGTACCCAAGGACAGTACGTAAACAAAGGAGCACGGCCGTGTCCCAGTAACACTTTCTTTATGGACGTTGAAAATTAAATTTTATATAATTTGCACGGGCCACAAAATATGATTTCTTAATTTTTTAGCCATTTGAAAATATTAAAACCATTTTTAGCTCACGAAATGTTCAGTAATAAGCCCGCAAGCCATGGTTGGCTGAAACCTTGCTCCGGAACACTATGATTCCAGTGGCCCATTCACGGCATCGTGTTGTGTAGCTGGCCACCTGCTGTTTCTTAAAGTGGACTTTTCTCTTTTTTTCCCTTCTGTCACCACATTTTTGTTGTTGTTGTTGTTGATTTGTTTCTTTTGAGAGAGGGACAGCGCAAACAGAGGAGGGGCAGAGAGAGAGAGAGAGAGAGAGAATCCCCAGCAGGCTCCGCACTGTCAGCACAGAGCCTGAAGCGGGGCTCAAACCCACAAACCGTGAGTGAGATCATGACCGGAGCCGAAATCAAGAGTCGGATGCGTAACCGACTGAGCCACCCAGGGGCCCCATCACCACATTTTTCTGATTCTCTTCCCACTCCTATGGCTGTTGTTTCTCAAACACCTTAGGTCCTCTTAGGTAGACAGGTAGCCAGCCCAACATAGACGCAAATTGTAAGAAGCCAGTTAGTGTGGAATGAATGAATGACTCCAAAATCAATGGATCTATAGTCTGGACCTCTGTCCTAAGGCCCAGATCACCTAGCCCCATACCCTCACTTTGAAGACGAGCAAACTGAGACATAGCCAATGTCAAGCAGGGTGTCTTTGACAGTTAGGCCCAAACCAGGTCTCGTGACCTTTAGTTCAGTGGTCATCCCACCGTGTGCCCGAGATTGACACAAACAGCTCTGCTGGCTGCACCTCTACCCTCAACCCCTCCCAGGCCAGCCCACGGGGGTGACAAGAGGCTCACATACATGGTATGGTTTCTCTCCCGTGTGGATTCGCAAGTGGCTCTTCAGAGTCTGAAGGTGCCGGAAACGGGTGCCACAGATTTCACAGGGATAGGGCTTCTCTCCAGTGTGGATGAGCACGTGGGCACGGAGGTGGGCCACCTGAATGGAAGGGCAAAGCATGAGAGGCTCCGCTGCGGCGGGCCGCGGCCCCCGCCCCCGGGAGCCCCTAGTCAGCACGCGGAGGCTGAGGGGTCCTTTCCCCATGGCCCTGCTCACTTGTACGAATCTGGCTCCACAGGTTTCGCATTTGTAGGGCTTCTCTCCAGAGTGGATTCGAGTATGGGTTTTCAGGTTGGCTGGCCGGTTGAACTGGGCTCCACAGATGTTACAGCGATAGGGTTTCTCACCTATTACCGAAAGGAAGGGGATAAAGAAAGCCATATTTGACAGAGGTCCCTGCAGACCCGCGTCCCTGGATCTCAAAGCAAACTGCCCTTCCGGGGGCCACCCTCAGCGTTATCTCACTTGGAAGATGTCTGAGAGAGGATCCAGGGGCCTGCTTCCTGGCCACCACCCCCAACACGCGCGCACACACACCGGCACAGGCTGCAGGCGGCCAGGGTCAAGAAGCAGGCGGGGACAGAGCAGAAACAACACAGGCGGTGGGAGAGGGAGGGAGGGAGGGGGTTCCTCCCGGGAGGCCTTGAAACCGGCCATGTCATCAGGATTATCTAACTGCCGACTCAGAGAAGTCACTCTCCTCCTCTGGACCTCAGTTTCCCTCTCTGGAACCTGAGGGGTGAATTTAGACGCCGTAGGAAGGCTCTTCTCGCTCTCGCCTTGGCCAAGACCGATACAGGAACCGAACCATTTGCCAGGAAGATACAATCAGACTGTTCAAGTTTCTCTTTTGGAGAAGACACGCTTTTCCACTTAGGGCAGCTACAGCGGGATTCCATGCGCGAGAGGGCCGGGGCCTGAGTCAGAGTAGATGCTCAGGTGGAGGAAGCTAACAGAAGGGCTGAGCATTGGGGATTAACTTTTCTGACTCCAGCGAAGGGAGAGACACAGGACAGAGCTTCTCAGAGAAAAGACAAACAATACAGGGAGTGGAATGAGTCACCAAGCAAAGACGTGACAGGGCTAGGCCCACATTCGGGTCAGGACGGGGCCTGCTCCCTGCCTCAGCCCGCCGGGGGCCAGGGCCCCACTCTGCTTTCTCTATGGTTCTCTCCCCACCCTGGTCCCAGTAACCCTGACCAGCCGAGGTGGGGTTGGGGGGGGGGGGCGGCGGGGCAGGGCCATACCCGTATGCACGGTCTTGTGGCTGGCGAGGTTGCCCTTGTAGCGGAAAGAGGCCTGGCAGCGGTCACACTTGTAGGGTTTGTCGCTGTGGGTCTGCAGCGTGTGTCTCTTGAGCGAGGCCTCCTCAGAGAAGCGGCAGTCACACTCGTTACAGAAGAAGGCCCCGTTCTCTGTTGGAAGGCGGGGACGGGGACACCAAAGTCACAATGAGGAAGGGAGGCAGGGCTCCGAGGCCACTTCTTCCCTCTGCGGCTGCACTCAAATTGATCCCCAACCTCCATTCACCTGACGCTCCCGAGAACCCAGAGCCAGGGGCCTGTGGCGTTTCCTTTTTCTTAGCATTTAGAGTCCCAGTCGTGGAGGACAAAGGAGACAGATTTGAGTATTAAGGTACAGGAGGGAAACAAACCAATGGGTATCTACACGGCCTGTGCCAGCTTCAGGAAAGCTCAGCCGGCTCTTCCTGTCTAGAGAGCTCTGACAACTGACTTTTCCTGTCACGGCATAGTTTTCTTGACATTCATACACGGGAGCCCTCGAGCAAAACCCTCCACCTCTCTGAGCCTGTCTGTGTCTCCATCTCCAAAGTCAGGAGAGCAACCCCCCCACAGCCTATCTCACAGGAGCATACTGTGTCACGCAAAGCATTCTAGGAATGTAAGATATAAAATCCAATGACACTTGGAGGTCATTAAATGAGGAAGTAATGGTGAACAGGGTCACCCTGTATCTCTCTCGGGATTTCATGTCCCCCAAACACTTCTGTGAGATTGGGAGAGCCAACAAGGACGGGAAGTAGAAACAGCGGCCTAGAGAGAAGGGACGGGATGCCGAGAAAAGGCAAGTGGCCAGGGGGACAGATGGGGACAGTCCCTGCTCTCCCAGCTATACACCCATGACCCTGTGCCAAATCCCTCAGTGTGAGGGACTGATTTCTTTTCCTTTTGTGCTAACGTTTTGAAAATGACGTGTCATGGCAGGCGGTTCACCCCCGAGTAGGTATTACTGGGCTATCCTACTCCAGCCAGAGCTTGAGGGAAAAGATGGGCTTTTATCTGATAAAAACTGGGGATGCCAATCACAAAGTATCCAACACTTCAATTTAATAATTCAGTTCCACTAATCTAATTCCGCTAACATTAGCCGAGTTGCCTACTCCATGCTAGAAATTCTCTGGGATCTGTGGGAGACGCAGGAATGATTACAGTCGGCTGCTTGTCCTTACGGAATGCACGGCCCAGCTGGGGGGAACTAACACAGGTCAGGCCGTTGGGTCCCCAGCAGCCGAGAAAGCTCTGGGAGTTATAGCCAGCCCCACAGGTTGCCTTAGCTGGAATGCAGCTGAAAAGGCTGTTTGGTCATTCTCTACTAGCCCAGATGAACTCAAACACCCTATCCATCGCTCCGGTCTGCCTGGTTCAAGAGGCCAAGAGTGGGGTGATGGACTGGTGATTGTCAAGTGCCAGTGACCTTCCAATCAGGGACTTCTCCCAATCGGTAACAACAGCACACGTGAAATGGAAACGCGAACCCCACGGGCAGAGGCAGGGGCCTTCCTTCTCCCCGGCAAGGGAAGGGAAGGAGGGAAGGGGACTCACCACAGCTAGAATCCGAGTACTCAGACTGGGTCTCTCCCATCTCCTCGGGGAATGTGGGGCCGGCGGTGTGGAGGCACATCTCCGCGTGCTGCGGGGACTGAGAGCCGCAGGATGTGCACTTGGGGGGGTGCAGGTAGAGAGGCGAGTGGCTCTCGCTGCTGCTGCGGGGGGAGCCGGTCAGGGACCTGTGAGCAGGAGGAAAGAGAGCCTCAGCAGCTGGGCAGCGTAAAGCACCCCACTTGGCCTGGACGCTGCCCCCTCCCGTCCTGTGCTCAGGTGAGCCCAGAGCTGGGCTGCCTCGCTCTGGATGTGGGGCCACAGAGTTATCCTCAAACCTACCTCTAAACAATGTACGCCCTGAGACCCCTGACAGGGTCACACTGGGCCAACACCCCGACCCAGGCCAGTCCCAGTCTGCAGGCTAGCTCAGTCCAAAGCGGGGGCGAGATCGCCCTGCCCTGCCAAGACCATAGAAGCTGCCCTGGGGATTCATGAAATGCTCTTCTGCTGCCGAGGGGATTTTCCCGCTCTTGCTCTGACAAAATCGATCAAAGCCTAATATGCTTCCTTACTTAGGCGAATTCAATCAGTGGGTGCTCACTGCACACCTCTAACATACTCAGTATTCAGGCAAGAAAAGAACACAGCCCCGCCTCCATCAGAAGAAGTGACCGCGTGGGAAGCCCTGACCCCAGGCCCGGACTGCCTGGGAAAGCACCTGTTGACGATGTTATTGAGCCGGCTGGCCTGTGGGATGGTGGAGTCCTCCCCGCTGGCGCTAAGCTTGGTTGGGGACTGGAGGTCAAGGCTCTCGGGCTCCATGGGCGGCTGGCAGGCCGGCGGGGCGGTGTAGGCTCGAGGGGAAAGGCGGCCCAGCTCCGCCTGCTCGGGCCCCTCTGGTTTGGCATTCTGGTTGAGGCTGTTGAGCACAATGAACTTGTACTTCTTCCAGTTGCAGGCTTTGGGGTCGGTGGGGCTCTTGGCCGGCGGTGAACCCGAGGTCTGGAGGATGCAGGCGTTCTTGCTGCTGCAGGACTCCGTGGGCGAGTTGGGCTGGCAGTCAGACTTCTGCGGGCTCTGCGGACTCACCAGACCCTTCCGGTTCAGGGGTGCACTGGGGGGCTCGAAATGCAGGGCGATCTCATCCTCGGAGGAGGGCCTCTCTTCCTCCTTGCCGGCCTTGTCACAGGGGAAGTATGGGGCATTCCGGGCCGAGGGGGCGGCCGGCTTGGGGCCCTCGGCCACGCCGTAGTGCATGTCACTGCGTGCCTCCTCCGGGGCGGCCTCCTTGGGCGAGTAGATGCTGCTGTGGCAGACACTGGGGGGCATCTCCATGGCCGGCCGGCTGTACTCGCCGGGTACGGGCCTGGCACTATCACAGGGGAGGGCCCGCTCCTTGGGGAAGGGGTTGGCCACGGGCATCCGGGCATCCCGCAGCTCCTCATCGGAGAAGAGGAAGCTGCTGACCGGGAGGTGGCTGTACACGGGGTAAGAGGCTGGCGGGGTGGACAGGCCGCTGTACAGGCTGGGGGCAAACGCCCTGCTCTCACACCCAGGGGCGTTCCTCAGCGGCAGGTTATTCTCCATCACCTCACGACCCCGATAGGCCATGATGTCTTGGGGCATCAGCATCCGGCTATTCAGAAACTCGTCACGGGGAGGCTTGATGGCAGGAACCATCTCGGCTTCACTGCAGGGGAAAACAGAGAGGGGACATGGGCCTCCAAATCAGAGCTGTTGAACAGAGGGCTTTCCCAGTGACCCCGGTGTCCGTAACCACATTTGTGCTTGGGCAGCTTAGATGTAAGGGATGTGGCTCTGGAGGGGGGGAAGGACTTCAGTTACAAGGCCTTTATGCTAGGAACCCAGCAATCTAGCCCGCAGCGGGGGCGACGAGACCCACAGAAGGGCAGCGAGTTAGCCACACAGTCTGTGCCTGCTTAGACGTGACATCTCATGTCTAGTCACACCAGTATACATGCGTGTGCATCTGTAAGTCCTCAGATATCCTAGAAGGGAAAGCAGCTTTGCCAGCCCTTATCTCGTCTCACCCAGGCAAAATCCTGCAAAGGGAGAGAGGTATTATCGTGTCCATTTTACACACACGGAAACCGAGGCTCAGGGAGGGAAGGATTCACGCAATCCTGGTGCCACGTGTTCCGAGGGTCCGGAAAAAACTGGTGCCCTGTTGAAGACAGGCCTCAGCCTCTGTGCTGGCTAGAGTCCTGGGCAAGTTGACTTTGGAGGACGGGTGGCGGACGCCCGTCCTGGAAGCCATGGCTCTGAAGCGGCCAGACCTGCTTTCCAATTCTGCCGTGCCACTCAGCAGCTCCGTGAGCTGGAGCGAGTTACTTAACCACTCGGAGCACGAGGCCTGACCCAGTGAAAGCACTGGCAAAGGACAGCAATGATGCTCCTGCGACCACGATTACCCACAGGAGACAATGAGCTCTCACTGCCCGTACTTGAAGGGACATTATGTGGGCGAAAAATAGGCCAGCTCAACATGCTCATAGTTAACAGAGCTAGAACCAATGAGCAAAGGTTAAGGGAGCCACATTCCGGCTCGCCATAAAGCAGAGCTTTCTAACCGGCCAGGGGAGACCGTGTGGCTCTGAGAACACTGGGTTCCTGGCTCCTGGAGGTGTTCAAACAGAGGCCAGCAACGCTTCTGTGCGATAAGGGGTGCAATCACCCTAGAACAGCTGAATCAAATGCTTCTAAAAAAGTCAAGCCCTGAGTCCCTGCTCCACTTAGCCAAGCCCTTCACTTGATTGGCTCTCAGGTTCCTCACCTTTAAAGGATGGTCATGTCTGACCGGCCCTCAGGTAGGGGATTAGACCCAGTGAACTCAGGGTGATTCAGTAAATGGTCCTCTCCAGTAGGAGCCCGGCAACGGCAAGGTAAAAGGTGAGTAAAGCAGCCCGCGGTCTGGTAGGGGAACCAAGGCGCCTATGTAAATCATTGTGACGGAAGTCTAAAGGAGAACTCAACTACATATGCAAATGGTTAAAACAGAAGGAAGGTCTGAAGGACAGGCCAAAGGCTTAGGGACACAGAGGAAGAGCTGGGGGAGGAAGAGGGGCCATTGCAAAAACATCCGTGGGTGGGGGCTGGCATCCAAGCTAGGCCTGACAGGACGGGCGGGAGGAGAGGACACGTCAAACGAATAGAAGGAGGCAAGAGGGAAAGCACAGAGCTTCTCTGGAGAGCACCACCTGCCTGGAGCCCAAGAATTAAGAAGGCGGAAGTGGGCCAAGAATTGTGGAAACGTAAGTCGTGCATATCACAGAGGATCCTGTATGCAAGCGTTACCAAGGCTCTCTGAAGGCCTTCAACCCCACGCCAGCTCACCTGGCCTTGATAAACTTCCGGCAAGTGTCCACAACGTGCTCCATCTGCAGGTACATAGCCGTAGCCATCACAGCCATGATGTTGCCCTCCCGCAGATTGAGCCGAGACGTGTACATGAAGTCCAGGAGGATGCAGAACCCCTCGGGGTTGATCTCAGGATCCAGGTTGATCACGCTCAGGTTACATTTCAACTGGTCTGTGAAGATGCTATAGAACAGGCCGCTATAAAACAAACAAATGTCTCACTATCACAGACAGAATTTGCCATCAGTTACAGTCAGTGTCAGGGCTCCGCTCTCTCCCCTGGGCCTTGCTCCAGAATTTCTGTGGCAATTAATAATAACTGCCATTTATGGAGAGCTAACTAAATGCCAGACAGTCATTAAGCACTTTACATACATTATCCTGTGTTCCTCACAACCTTGCAAGGTAGATATTATCATTCTCCCCTTTACGAGTGGGGGGACAAAGATCAGAAGTTAAATGATTTTCTCAAAGTCACAGAAGCTATTTTCCTTATGGTCTTAAGTGCATGGATCATCAGAGTGAAATTCGGCACTCATTTGCCGTTACCATTTTTAGTCTCTAGCTTTGAGATAAACATTTCTCTTCCTATGATCCTTATTTTTAAAATGCCATTGTATGTTTTTAGAAACAAGTTGCGTGTCGATGAGAAATAAATAGAATGATGCCTACGTGTACAGTCTACTGATCTGCTAAAAGTCTACAGACTTCCGTAAGGTCAATATTCCTCGAAGACACAGGTGAAACTTCAGGCCATGACTCCGGCTACCATGCTGTCTGGTGGAGGAAAGAGCACTCAATCACAAGTCAGGGTTCTGGGCTGTCGTCTGGATTCTGCTCTTTCTTAATGGGTTGCTGGAAGCGAGCCAGACTTTTACCAGGAAGTAGCTGTGCAACCTTGGGTGAGATACTTAACTTCTCTGCACCCTGCTTTCCTTATCTGCAAACCAGGAGCCACGGCGTCCACCCGACAGGGTTGCGGCAAGGACGGAAACATAAAGGGTACATAGAATCATGCCTGGCACACAGTAAGCACTTGGTGAGTATTTTCTATTACTTTCCTTTCTCTATAAATCTCTGTTTTTGCCACTGTTAAAAAATACGTGCTGGGGACGCCTGCGTGGCTCAGTCGGTTAAGCGTCTGCCTTCGGCTCAGGGCATGGCCTCACGGTTCGTGGGTTCGAGCCCCGCGTCGGGCTCTCTGCTTTCAGCGCGGAGCCCGCTTCAGATCCTCTGTCTCCTTCTCTCTGCCCCTCCCTCTCTCTCAAAAATTAAACATTAAAAATAACAACAACTGGGGTGCCTGGGTGGCGCAGTCGGTTAAGCGTCCGACTTCAGCCAGGTCACGATCTCGCGGTCAGTGAGTTCGAGCCCCGCGTCAGGCTCTGGGCTGATGGCTCAGAGCCTGGACCCTGTTTCCGATTCTGTGTCTCCCTCTCTCTCTCTGCCCCTCCCCCGTTCATGCTCTGTCTCTCTCTGTCCCAAAAATAAATAAACGTTCAAAAAAAAAAAAAATTAAAAAAAAAAAAAAACAACAACAACAAAAACCAAAAACAGGTGCTTGCTGTAGATGTTGAGTGAGCTCTCGGCTAGCGATAGAGATCCCTGACTTTATATCAGCTCACCTATCTGCGTCTTTGTTTCACTGTCTATAAAATGGAGGTGATGCCTCCATACCACAGAAGGCCACTGCAAAGATCCAGGGAGAAGATGTAATATAGAATCGCTCTGGGGGGCCACTGGGTGACTTGGTCAGTTAAGCGTCTGACTCTTGATTTTGGCTCAGGTCATGATTTCACGGTTTGTGAGTTCAAGCCCTGCGTCGGGCTCTGTGCTGACAGTGTGGATGGAACCTGCCTGGGATTCTCTGTCTCCCTCTCTCTCGGGCCCTCCTCTCTCTCTCTCTCTCAAAATAAATAAATAAACTCAAAAAACACAGCTCTGTGTACGTGAAATACTTGGCAAATACGAAGAATCGGCCGGCTCACTCTTCCTAACTTACACATATATACCCTGAAACACCCATGGAAATACAGCCACAGGATTAAACGCACATAGTTACAGAATAAAAGGGCAAAAGATATCAAATTCACTTGCTTACAATATTGTCAACCCCCCTCTGACTTCTTCTAACTGGAGTTATTCTCCATGTTATTGTCCAAACACATCCTTTCTTGGGACAGTATACGATTTCTTCTCCCTCTCTTCCCACAGAACAGAAACTCTTTCTTCCCCAGAAGCGCGTGCATTCATTCGCTCCCTGGGAACCTACTCTGCCAGGCCACGGGCTGAGGTCTGGAGACAAGTGCCATGTAATTCCGAACACAGCAAAAGGCCCACCTGTTCTGCCTCGCTGCCCGCCCACCCTGTCGGCTCGCCTTTATACATCCGTCTTTCCCCTCCAGACCCCTCACCTGCAGGCCATGAGGACTGTCTTATGGGCTCTGAACTGCTCGCGGCTCACCACGATGACAACATCGGTCAAGATGTCACGGCTCCGCAGGCGGTTGAGGTTGAGAAGCACGTCGCTGGCATGGCGAGTAAACTGGATACAGCTGTCAGCCGGCGAGGCCATTTTGTCTTCACCTGGAAAGCAAAGGGTCAGAATCTTGTTGGTTCCCCAGCACCCGACTCCTGTTTGCCAGGAGTGTGAGAACAGGAGCCTCGGCCTGCTAACATGTGGGCTGTAAACCGAGGTCCCTCGGGTTTGGTCTTGGACCAATTTGTGGCCCATCTCTGGGCATCTGTAAGATGGGAAAAATAAGGTTTATCTAACAAGTGGGACTAGAAAAAAGCCTTTCGGGGAAAGCGGACGTGAATGAATATCTGTGGAGCGCTTTTCCCACATACCAAATACTCGGCCGGGCACTGAGAGGCAGTAAGTGTGTTACAGGGGAGAGAAACCACACTTGGAAGGTTAGCAAGCCAGCTTTACCTTTTGCTAGCTGTGTGACATGGGGCAGACTGTTTATTGTTTCTGGGCTTTGGTTTCCCCAAACGGGGGGAAGTAATACCTATGTGTTTGTAAAATTTAGAGATATGTGCCCCGGCTATAGTGGGTTCTCAAAAATCACAGCTATTCTTGTCCGAATCTCATTTCCTTATCCCAGCCACCATCTGTTCTCTCCTCTTTTAGGCTTTAGAATTGTCTGAATGTACTTCAAGCACCCAGCGTGCTGCTGGAGCATAGTAGGTGGCTACATTGGATCCGAACCAAGAAATGAGAGAGGGTGTGAATGATCACACGACGGTGAAGATAGTCTAACACAGGGGCGAGTGGGTGAGGCCTGGGAACGATGCAGAAGGGAACTGGCTATTCTTTATCTCATCTAATGAAAAGTGGCCAAGTTCACAGCAACACATGCATTGGCAAATTTCAAAAGAAACAGTTTGTCCACAAAGTTTTAAGGCATATAATTAGATTTACTTACCCAATGCCTTGATTCACAGTCCAAAATGTTGCTTAAAATCTGCAGGGAAGAGAAAAAAGCAAAGAGAAATTGATTTCATGAATGTTAGATTGTCCACTACAGTCTTATTTTAGGACACACGTATTTGGTTCTACTTTGATAGCTGCAGCCTGCCAGCTGGAGCGGTTTTACCACAAGCCAGCAAACATTTTTCCAGGTCTGCGCTTGCGGAAACAAAGGCACCCAAAGCTACGCAGTAATAACGTTTTTATCCTGACTACCGGGAACGCAATGGCACACATTAAATACACGTACATATACACACACCGTTCCTGTCTCAAAGTAAAAAATGTATACCAACCAAAGCCCGCCCCCGCCCCCCGCCTGAGTTTATGGGAAAGAAAAATACAAGAAAAGTGGTTCTTTCAATATCACTGAGAATGATCCTTCAGGGGGGGCCTTAAAGATGTGGACGGTTTTCAAAACCTACTAAAATATTATCTTTCAAGTCTTACAATGATTTCTCAACGTCTACTGGGTCGATATCGTTTATCCCCATTTCGCTGCTGACAAAACTGAGGCCCAGGAGTTCAAGTGGTTTGCTTAGGACAAAAAAGGTATTAAGAAACACTTAATAACCACAGGATCTGCAGAATACACCCCGAGATGGCTTAGCTATGCTTTCCTTGAGAATCTTTGTCTTTTTCAAAGTTTCTTCTTCTTTCCCTCCCGGGTCTGAGACCATAGTACTACAAACTTCCAAGCTTGTGCTCCCTCTGCTGGGGAAAGATTTAATTGTGTGCTTTGACTGAGAACAGGCCAGGGAGGACTCATGGAATGTGTACCCGCTCCAAATTGGTTTCTCTGAAACAAAATAATTTTAAAGCACAGGTGTAGGACTCTTATTTATGATCACATGTGGGCTGCAACATAAAACAGTATCTGAATCCTTTTCAGCTCCCCCCCCCCCACCCCGTTCAAAATCATAACCCTTTAGAGCTGTTTTCCGGGTAAAGGGGCCTGAGGCCAGGGAGGTCATGTTGGGCCACGTAGATGGTTAGTGGCCCGGCCCTAGGTCTTCTGGCTCAAGTTCTTGTCCCTTTTCCAAATCAGCCTACGTGCTGTAGAACATGCAAGACAGCACCCTAATGTGGGTGAATCTCATTCTTAAGTTCCTTCCCCCACACAAACACTTTGCCCCCATTCCAGGCTGCTGAATCTTACCAAATGAGCACTCTAAAATGAGAGGTTTCCTTGAGTCTGTAACCAAACACTCTGACATTTCTCTGTGGTCCCAAGTGCCAGTCACTCAATCCCATCGGCCTCAAGGTTAGTGTGTGCATGTGAGTGAGTGAGGATAAGGGAAGGGAGTGGGGGAAGGGAGAGGAAAAGAAGGAGAGGAAAGAACCTATTTCCTCCTCTCCCCATCCTAACTCAAGACGGGCAAAGAGAAATACACTGACCTGTCCTAACCAAAGTTCAATGATTGTCTCTGTTGAAAAAGAACACTGGAGACGCGTGAGAGGTTCATTTACAAACCGTCTTCTCTTCCCCGGGTACAAAACATCCCTGAACACTTCTGGAATATCTAAGGCTCTCCTTTAGCCAGCTTCAACCACCAGCTCGCTTGTGGATTTCCACTCACAGATTTTTGGAACCACAGGAAGCCCAGATCTGCCATTTCACCTTGACAAGTGGCAGTGACTCACTCCATATGCAGATCGAAGCAAACAAACAACACTTTCCCACCTCCTGCCCCCTGCGGGTGGGGTGGGGGTGGGGGTGGGTCTGCCAGCCAGGCCCTGGGGCTGGGCACTTTTCATCCTAAACCTCTGCCTGGCTTGGTCAAAAACAAACGCGCATACACTGAGGCTCATCCTTATTAAGCCCACCTCTTCTTCAGCTGGGTCTATCTTAGGGGACCTCACAGCTAGTGAGTGCGTGTTAAGGTGGATGTGGGAAGCCATGCCTCCCTCTACTTGCCGCAAGTGTGGAAGGACCCCTAGCAGCTGCTTTGTTTCCTACAGACCACTCAGGCCTTCCCCATCCATCATCGTCTGTGATCTTTATAACAGCCCTGATTTACTGGGGAGGCCACTGACGCTTCATGGGATAAGCCTTGCCCAAGACTGAAAGCTAATCTCCAGCAAAGTCCTGGACAAACTCTGTCTTACTAAGCTTCAGCCGGAATCCCATGGACGCCACACACAATACTCATTACACAGAAACAACCGCCAAAAGAACAGGGCTGTCAAAGAGAAACTGACAACTGCAAGGGCCCAGACGTGGGCTCCCCCCACCCCTACCCCGCCCCAGCCGCAGTAACCACGAAGTGAGACCTAAATATTGTCTTTCCACCCACACACTTTCTCTCCTCTGCCTTTTCCCTCGGGATTTTCAATTCGGCACCTTGAGGAGAAGGCAGATCTTTCAGAGGAGCTGGAGAAGAAAAACGAGGGACCCTCTCCCTGTACAAAAGGCAGAGAGGGAAGAGAAGGCAGCCGAAGGAGAAGGCGGAGAGACAAGAGAGCAGGGCTGAAAAGAACGAGAGCCAGGTCAAGAGAGAGAGAGTGAGCCAACACGAAAGCCCCCATCCACCCTTTCCCTGTCTCTCCCGCTCGGCGGGCACTGCGCTTCCTCTCACAGGCTCCCACGGGCACAAACCGGAGCCCTGAGCGCCACAGCAAGCCCGGGCAGATGCGCCCACCCCGACCTTACCGTACCTGCCCGCCAGGGACCGCCCACCCCCGGGCGTTCTGCGGGCGCCGCGGCCCATCTGCCTCGAAGCCCCCGCAGGCGCGTCGGAGGCCCCGTGGTGAGATCGTGGCAACCTTTAATTTGGTTACATTCAAATAAAACGCTTCGTACACTTCGGTAGCTAACATTGTGTGTGCCTTTTTTTTTTTTTTTTTTTCCTGTTACGCCGTCAAGGCAGTGGGCAGTGAGGGGAATGGCACAGCCCTCTCATTCCCGGAACGTAGTCGATCTCAGCTCAGCGGATTTCACAGAACACTCTCTGCCTATCGCCGTTTCCAACGAGAAGTAACTTTCCAGGAAGCTGCCGGCCCCCGACGGCCGCCAGGATCGCTGCCTGCGGCGCGAGGGCCGCCGGGGATTCACCCGGGGAGGGGGGGCCGCCCAGGGAGGCTCGCGGGGAATAGGCACACTTTCCCCTAAATCCCTCGCCGGCGCCCGATCCAGGATTCTGAGTTCACGCGGTCCAACCCTTCCCCCACAAAAATTTTATACATGGGGAAAGTCGCGCAAGTGAGTAGCAGAGCCGGTCCAGAACCCAGGAATTCGGGTCCAATCCGAAACTCATTTCAGGACTTAGAATTGCCTAATTCTGGTGTTTGTTTGCCTGGTGCGTCATTTATTTATTTATTTATTTTTCTCTCTTTTTTTTTCCCCTTTCTCTCTCATTGCTTGTGCCCCCCGGGGGCCCCCGGGCCCCCCCCCCCCCCCTTTAGGGGCTGGTTATAGGCCAGGCGTCAAAGTAGAAAGATGGGAGTCCCTAGGACTGAGGGTCTCCAGCCAGTGCGCACCAGCCGACCTGGAGCAAAACCAAACCGAAAGCCCCTTCCGCCTACGTTGGCAAGTAGGGGAACCCTGCTCAGCTCGGTTTCCGCCCAAAGTCTTTAGAATCGGAGCTGCCAGGCCAAACCTGGCTAGGTTTCGGGATTTCGGAATCCGATTTCTCCGAAACAGGTAGAGACGCGGTTAGGATTGCGCAGGGACCGGGGCGCTGACCCTAGCGCGCGCATGGGCGCGCTCCTGGATTGCCTAGCTTTCTCATGGCCTTCCTCGGAATTATAACCCCTGGGCGCCCTCTCCTGAATGGTCCTAGTAGTGGGCTCCAAGAGTAATTTTCCGGGGCGAGGGGCACGAAAGACGTAGCCCCTGAGGCCATAGTCCTCTCCTAAAGCCCGCGGGTGGTCTCTCACTGCGTCGCGCATCCCATCAGCGGCGGAGGCGGGGTCTGGGCGGTAGGTAAAGACTGGGCTTCGTCCGCCTCATAAAATCTTACTTTGAGGCTTTCTCATCCCTTCGCCCGGTGGAATAAAGGTGAAAGCGAAGGTTGAAATTTAATATGGAATGGGGTGAGTATCTAGGAAGGGAAGTTAAAATTAAGTACATGCACTTATTGGAAATTAGGAGTCCCGTGGTTCCGGGAGCTAAAATCTAATCATGTTTTACCGCTGCCTGACACTAGAGAGAGCCCTCCATCAAGGCTAGAAACCGACAATATCCATGTAGCCCCGCCTCTCCTTCCCATTGACCTACTTTAGACACAGGCTCCAGATTTGGAGAATGCCTTTCACATCCCCACCCCCACCTTTCTCTATCCCGGCCGGCCTTTGGATTATTGGTAATCTAATAACACCAATAACTCTCTGAGAAATCCAAAGGAGAATCTGGAAGTGCAACGCACTGTTTGGGGCGGGGGGGTGGGGGGGGACGGGGAATTTTAATTAAAGCTGGAGCGGACGTAGTGAAACCAGCATCAGGGCTCTTGCCCAAGCGCTCCCTTTCCGCGCAGCTTCTCAGCTAACTGGCTGCTCCAGTTTAGCCACAGTGGTCCAGCGATAGGGGGTGGGGTTAAACCGCGCGCTTGTTTTCGTTTTAAGGGAGAAACACTGTTCGCTCTCTTGACTGGGGGGCGGGAGAGTGGAGTAGACAATAAATGAAAGCGAATTTGATAACGCGGTAGCCTCGGCAGGCGCTTTGGATGACCGAGGTGTTCGGGGACATTATGTCCTGACTTTATTTCTATCACGTTTCCTGCCAACAGCGCTCTTTGAAGCCTGCAAGCTTCTAGGAAATGCAATAAAATAGAGGGATGTGTTTTATCATCAAGATCTGAAGAGGAGCTGCAGAAGGGACGCTCCCCATGCGCCCAGCTCGCGACAGCCTTCCAGAAAGAGCCGGCAGACAATGCCAACAAACTACGTCCCTAAGCAGAGATATCTCGGTCATCCAGGCTGGACTGGGCTCTGCCTTTGCAAAAAGGCTGCAGGGGGAGGGGAGCGGCATGATGTCCCCAAGCAAACAATGCCTTTAAAAATCCGATCTGGACAGAAGTCAGCCAAGGTCTTTATTCACCTTAATGAAGATGGAAGGCACTAACTGTCCTTGGAAAGCGATGAGTCAAACTTGACCGCTCTTCAAACACATGCCCAGATTCGTTTCCAACCCGAACAGAGGCGCGTTTCTCCGACGCGGCCTCCGACAGTTCCCGCAGTGGGAGAGGCTGAACTCGATTTCCTAGGACCAGGGAGGTGGAGACGGCAGCACCTCCCGCGGGTGTGCGTCGCCGGCGGCCGTCGCTAGGGGTCGCCGGCACCCGTACGCGCGCTTTGCCATCTTAAGTTTTCAGCTCCAAGAAATTAAAACTTTGCTTAAGAAGAAACTATTGTGGCCAAAATTCTACAGGGATTACCCCCCTGCCATCTTCCTCACCCCCCTCCACAACTGAATTCTGGTCAAGTCACTAAGCAGCGTGGAAGGAAGGGGAAGAGAGTTATTTCAGTATCCAAATGCGAGCCTGGGGCGCAGGGAGGTACATCTCTGCAAGTCTAGGGACAGGGACCTAATCACCCGCTAACACAAGCACCCTCCTCAAGATCTGAGACCGCCGCCCTCATCAGTACATTAGGCTGTCCGTACCTGTCACTGAAAATCTTATGCCATACTTTCTGAAACTCCTCCAAGGCACCTGGGTAACTGTTTCCAGCTACGCTGACCTGAGACATTAAAATCATGGATCTCACTGCTGCTGCTTTCTCTTAGGTACTCCAAAGGAGCAGAGATAAACTCGCCTTTGACTTTATTTAAGTCACTGACCTGGAATTCAGAAAGTAAAAAAATCTGTCCCAGTTAGGGTACTAACTCACCGGTAACAGACCACCCTCATGAGGCCTGTTTCCTCAGTTGTCAAGAGCTTTATGTCCTAGAGCCCCCAAGGCTTCCCGCCACCCCCCACACTTCACCCAGGGAGAAGCCACGGAGACAGAGAGATAGTGTATTCAATACGGGTTATCTTAAGGTTCTCTTAGTGGAGGCTGATGCGCCTCGCTGGGGGACCGTGGACAGGACAAGCATCTGGAGGATTCCTAATCTCCATCCATCTTACCAAAACTTTGGAGGCCGGATGTCACCCTCACTGGATGGTCTCCTCCTCTGTCAGTCCTAGTACCTGATGGGGATACTTGGGAGACCCGAAGGTGACAGGGGCTGCCCACCGCCCCAGACGGGGAACTCGGCTACGATCTACCACTAGGTGGCAGACTCAGTACGTTCGAAAATGACCGCGCCTCCACAGCCTTCCACAACCGACTGCCCCCCCCGGCTTTTCTTTTTCTTTTTTCTTTCTTTCTTTCCTTTTCCTTCTTTCTTTCTTTTTTGATCTGTTAGGGGGAGGAGGTTGCCTCTACAAGCAACTCTGCAAAACGTTTAATTTACTGGATGTAATTCCGTTCTTCCCGATGCGCACTCCTCTAGCAGCCACAACACGGTATCTGGAGCTGCGTTCACAAATTATACGGTGATTTTTTTTTCCAGCCGGAAGGGCTGAATATATTAGAAGGGAGGAAAGGGAGCGCTTGTCTTCAAAAAGCAGAGTGGAACTCGAAGGTATTAGCAGAGTTTCTTGCCAAATACTGGTCGACCCGGGAATCAACTCCTGATCCCCACGGAGAAAAGGGGCCCTGGAGGCCAAGGACAGGGTTCCACCCAGACTTACAGCTCTCGGCCAAAGACGCCACCGAATTATGGTCTTTTGGTGGGGCTGCTGGTCACAGGCTGGGAGGCTGGGAGGACGGGGAAGAGCCATTCCTGGCTTCCAGTGAGTGGGAAGAAGAGAAAAGGGCCAGCTTCACCACAACACAGCACCTCGGCCGGATCACTGCGGCGGCATTCCCACTTGTTGCGCAGTGCAGGAAACCGGCACGCGCCACACTATTTCAACTCCCAGAGAGCTCCAAACCCTGCTCGACTGGCCTACCATTGCCCCCACGCCGTCCACAAACCTGCGTCCCCAGCCCAGCCCCCATAGACACCACCACCATCACCGCCAGCAAAACTGCAGGACTTCCAATCACTGGTTTGTTTTTACACCAACACATTCCTCCTTCTGTCAGTGTCAGACTGGCAACAGAATTCAGGTGCTCTGAGAAGTCAAGTCCAAGGGGGAAGGAGGCTACCTCCGTCTGGAGAACTCACCTAAAAGCCAACTAGGCGACCCTAAAAGCCAACTAGGCGACCCTCCGCGGGCGCGCGTACACACACACACACACACACTCTCTCTCTCTCTCTCTCTCTCTCTCTCTCTCTCTCTCTCGGAACTTCTTTGCCTGTTATGACAGTATCCTAGCTGGAAAGCAACTCTTTTCCTCCCCATTTGACAGATCTACTACAAAGTCCTTTTTGTTTTTAAAGGTAGTTTTATCTCCTTTTTCTAAAGAAAAAAAAATCCTCATAAGGTCATTTCACAATGTTTTTCAAATATTTGACTTTCGCAAATAGAGTTTCACCCACCGAGGGGTGGCGCTGCCGCACCACCACCTGCGAATCTCTAAGTTTTTCACAATAAAGTGGGTTGTGAGTGTGGCTACCGGGCAGGGGAGAGAGGGAAGGAAGGATTTTGACATCTAGTCCTGGCTACCCTTTTACTCAACCAATAACTGGAACTCTTCAGGGCTCAGCAAACGACAGCTTAAGAGTTTTGAGTCCCATTCCTGTCCACCAAACCCAGAATAAATTGGAGAGTCTTTTCAAGAAAGCATTGGGTAAAATCCTTCAGAACAGCACAGACGAAAAGGCCAATTGGAGAATTCCCTCTTCTGGCTTCCTTCTCCTTCAAGCTGCCCCGTTTACCAACAGCTTCTGGCCTTACTGTCACTACCAACAGACCCTTAAAACCAGCCAGCGCTTGGGCCGGCAGTATTGGAGAGTCTTCCAAATAGGATATTGGAAACTTCTATTTATAAGTGGGGGGGGGGGCGCGGGAAATATTTCCCATCTACAGGTTTCTATTTCAGCCTGAGGACTCAACTGCAGCCATTTAGCAAGGGAATGCCCATCTTGTGGCACACTCTTTCCATTTCCTCCTCCCCTCTGAGACAATATCCTTTCTCCTTAAAAAGAAAAAAAAGGTATACATTTTAAAGCAAGAATGTGATTTCACCTCATTCCTTTGAGCTCATGTTTGCTACCTCCAGGAATAGCGTGTGGACTAGGGCCAGATGAACTTCAACTTGGGCTGCAGATTTACGAGGTTCTGTTCCAGTGCCAAAGGCTCTTGGTAGTAAATAGTGAGCAAAATAGATACCTGTCTCCTGACAGATCTTGCCGGCCCCCCTCTTATTTTTTAAAGTTATTTATTAAAACCACACACACCTTGCAAAGAAAAAGGGAAACTGACAGTCTCTGTAGAGGAAGCCGGTGGCATCGCTCAGAGCCACAAACTGTATTTCTGAACAGCCCTTTCCCTGGTTCCCTCTGTCCTGCCCCACTTTTTTTTTTTTTTTTGACAGAAAAAAAAAATGCATGTATTGACACTTAGAAAAAGTAAAGAGTGACAAGATTTTCCTCCTGGAAACTATAACCTGAATGGAAAAAAAAATCCATTAAAAAATTAAATTAGTTTCCTGTAGCTGGTGGTGGTGGTGATGGGGATGTCCAGCTTTCTGTGATCATCAGTGAGGGACCCAGTAACAGCTCTGGACTTTCGGTATCCTGTTTGGGGTTCTTCTCCCTATTCAGCAGTCTGGACCCTCACCACCAAGTCTTAACCATTGCAAAAAAGGGCACCTTATAGAAAGGTCTTTTCTTCTCTTTCTTTCTTTCTTTCTTTCTTTCTTTCTTTCTTTCTTTCTCCCTTTCTTTTTAAAATCTATTGGGTTGTGTTTTTGTTTTCCATGGGAGAGTTTTAAAACTCATTATTGTAACACTAGTTCATTTTTCACCAGAGTTCCAATAACACAGCATCATAAAGGCAACGCAATCCACAGTTCTCAAGACACTGACCACGGTCACTACATCCCGCAGCGGGGTGGCCCCTAGCTCCCGCTGCCCAAGAGCCCAGACGATTTCCGAGGCTCCAACTCCCCACCCGCTCCCGCCCCGGGCCGCCGCCGCCGCCGCCGCCTTCCCCCATTCCTACTCCCTCCAGGAGAGCCACAGGTTGCAAATCCAACCAACCTCGCAATCGGTTTTTGCAAAATCACTCACAAAGATCTCCCTTTCGCGCCCGCGCCCCCTTCTCCCGCGCCAGGCCCCCCACCCAGGGCCACAGAGTGCCCTTCTCTCCTCCCGGGTCTTGCACGTAGGAACGCGGGCTGGGACTGTTTGTTTTTCCCCTCGCCCAGTGCAAGGACCTCGAGAATCTGAAGCCTGATGTCGGCTACTCTCCGGCTGGCAGTTGTCTTTTTACAAAGCTCGCACGATGGGAAAAAAATAAGACAAAATTTAGGAGAGGCGGGGAACAGCCATTGGGAGCTAACACCGAGTCACGCAGCGCCCAAAACACAAACACCGCGACCGCCAGAAATCCCGCCACCTTCCCGCTCGTCTGGGCCGTCCGGTGAAGGTTCCCGCAGTCCCCGCACGCTAAACGGCACCGCAGGTGCAAACGCGCACCCCTTTGCCACCCACCCCCCAAATCCCTGTCCCGCCACCAGCCGCTCTCCTCGGGATGGGGAGAGGGAGTGAGCGGGGTTCCTGACTCCCTCGACTGCAACATGAAAGAATAATTTTCAAAGTATTCAACATCCCCGCCCCCAGGCAAGCTAAACCTCCCCCAAAACACAGGGTAAGGGGACACCAAAACACTCGGATCTCGTTAGGAAGATCGCGGCTCTAAAAGGAAATAGTAGAAACGATACTTCAACTGGGTTTATGGGGAGGTGGGGGGAGAGAAAAACAAAACCCGAGGAGTTCGCTTGCATTTTTCCTCCCAAATCTCGGCTCGGAGGCAGGGAATCTAGAGGAGCGAGGCCGATGGAAGGGAGCCAGCGGGGCGAGCGAGCGGGCAGCCTCCCTCCCCGTCTCCCGGAGTCACCCAGAAGGACGGGAGCGGAGAAGGAAGGAGAGGCGAGGGAGAGGAGGAGGGAGGGAGGGAAGGGGAGGCAGGAGCGAGGGAGCGAGGAAGGCAGTTTGCAAGCGAGAAAAGAGGGAAAAAACACAGCCGCCCGAATCCAGCGAGATCACAAGCCGTACGCAAGCAGCAGCAGAAAGAGCGAGAGCGCGAGCGCGCGTCCTCTCCGTCGTCTGGGGCCAGACAGCCCCCAGACTTGCCCGGAGCACCCCCCCAAAACACTGTCTCGTCCTCTCGGCTCCGGCCGCCCCCTAATTCCCCTCCTTCCTCTCCTCCACCTCCTTTTCCAAAACCAAAACAACACCAGGGAGGGT